CACTCGCTCCTCGCTGCCGGGCGCGGGGTCAAACACCTGCGGCGCGGCGAAGGGGGCAGGTTGCCGGCGGGCACGGGTGCAGGCGGGTGAGGGAACGCGGAGCAGGCAGGGCAGGGAGGGTGCAGGGGTATGGGAGAGGAAGCCGCGCCACAGGGCGGCAGGAGGGATGCGGGGCAGGGACGCCGCGGGCGCCGGCAGGCAGCTGCCCCGCCCCTGCTCCCCCGCCGGCCCGGCACAGCGGGCACCGCAGCTCTGCAAGCCCAGCCCAGGCCGCCGCGCTTTCCCTTCTTCGCGCCGCGAGCCGACACCCCCTGCCCGCCAGCCTACGCGCCACCCCCACACGCCTGCCTGCCTGCCTGCCATCCCTGCCTGCCGAACCCTCCTCCAGCCTGCCTGCCTGCCTGCCATCCCTGCCTGCCGGCCCCCCCCTCCAGCCTGCCGACGCCGCACCTTGATGCGCGCCCCCGTCTCGGTCCGCACCCGCCGCACGTGCTCGCCGCCCTTGCCGATGATGTTGCCGGTGCGGTTGGTGGGCGCCAGCAGCCGGAAGGTGACCTCCACGGCGGCGCCGGAGAAGGCGGGCGGCGGCGGCAGGCCCGCGGGGGACGCCGGCGGCGGGTAGAAGGCGGCGGCGGCCAGCGAGGGGTGCAGGAAGGCGACGTCCGGGTGGTGGTGGCCGGCCTGGCCCAGCATGAGCGGCGGCAGCGCGCCCGGCGCGCCGGGGTAGGACGGCGAGGGCGGCGGCGGGCCGTGCCGCAGCACGTGCGCCTTGATCTGGCTTGCCAGCAGGCGCAGCGCGGCGCACGCCGCCTCGCAGCTGCCCACCACCCGCACCACCTCGTCGCCCAGGCAGGCGCAGGCGGGGAGCTCGGCCTTGGGCAGGATGCGCACCCCCGCTCCCGACCGCGCCATCGTGTCTTTGATGGTGGCTCCTCCTCTCCCCACCAGGAACCCCACCACGCTGCTGTCCACCAGCAGCCGCGCCTCCACCGATCGCTGAGGCAGGGAGGCGGCTGCGGCGGCGTGCCCGGCGCTGCCCGCTGCGCTGTGGTCGCCCGCCGTGGAGGCCGCGGAGGAGCCGCCGCCGCCGCCGCCGCCGCCGTCGGCCACGCTGCCGCCGCCGCCGGGGCCGGGGCCGGGGCCCTCCTCGCCGCCGGCGGCGCTCCTGGGGGAGGCGGGCGGCGGCGAGGCCGCGGGCGGCGACGGCGGCGGCGCCTCCCCTCTCCGCGCCTGCTGCAGGCTGCATATGCTGGCAAAGACGCCGCACAGGGCGTCCGCCGCGCTGCTGCTGGCCGCTGCCTCCACGCTGCAGCACCCGGGAGGCGGGCAAGTGCCAGCGCAACGCTCAGGGGCAGCACACAGCAGCCAGGCGGGGCCGGCAACATAGGAGGGGAAGCGGCAGGCGGCGAGGCATGGGGCTGGGCTCGGCCGCAAGCGGCAGCGGCCTGCGCACGGCTCCAGAGGCTGTGCTTGCCTCTCCCCCATGATGTGCACCACCCGCTCGTCGCATCCCAACACTGGGTCGGCGACCGACAGCGTGGCGCCGCTCTCCCGCCGTATGCGCTTGACATTCTCCCCCTTCTGCAGCAGCGGCGGCGGCGGTGGCGCGGCGGCGCTCAGCCCCCAGCAGGCCTGCTGCTGGAACGCCCAAGGGCCCAGCGGAGGCGTGCAGGGGGCAAGGTGGGCGCGGCGCGGCTCCGGCATGCGCGCCGCGACCCGCCGCGCCCGTACCTTGCCGATGAGCGCCGGCACCAGCGCGTGGGGGCACAGCAGGCGCAGCCGCAGCGCCGGCACTTCTGGCTCGGTGTCAGAGAGGCCCATCATCCCGTTCTGGTGGGAGCAAGAGCGAGAGGGAGGAGCGTGAGCGCGGAGGCAACACGGCACGCGAAGCGGCAGGCCGAGCAGAGAGAGGTTTGGCGTGCGTTCCTACCTGAGCTACCGCTTCCAAATCCCCGCCGTTGAGAGGAGCCTCCATGCGGCCTCCCGGCGGGGCGGAGCTGCCGCCACTTGCTGGAGGGCTAGAGCCCTGGCTGCCGCCCAAACAGGTTCCTGGGAGGGCGCTTGGGAACCTAGGTGCAGAGGCGAGGTTGGCAGGTGCCGAGTTTCGAAGGCCTGAAACAGATGCGCGGCCAGTTGAAAGCGTGCTGCCTGCAGCGAGTCGCTGACAAGCGGGCCTTTCACGAGAATTGAAAGCAGGAGCCCAACCATTCCAGGACAGGCAGCGCGGCCTTGACACAGTGGCACGGACCTTCTTCTCTCGGAGCAGCACACCCCCGACGTCTCCGTCGCCCTGCGCTATCTCATTCACTACCATCCCTTGCAGGCGGTACCTCGGCCCTCCACACGCACGCTCGCACAGCTGGCCTTTGCGACAGCCGGGAGGGGGCCAGCCATGCGGCTGAGCGCCGCACAGACGCTTGTAGCCATCGCCAGCACCTCGGGCAGGCCCTCAGGGGGACCTTGCAGTGCAGCCCGGCCACATGCAGTGACCACTTCGTCGTGCGGAGGCCGCAGGAGGGGCCCAGGTGGGGCTCACGGGACTGGACAGCGCGCACGGGATGGGGCAGGCACAATGCGCATGCACCACCCCTCGCGTGGCGCCGCCGCCGCCGCCTCCCTTGCCGCCTACGCAATGCCGCATCGCCCCGGCTAGCCTGCTGTTTGCTGCCGCGCCATCCGCAGCAAGCGCCACACCCTGGGCCCTTCCGCTGCACCCGCCTGCCTCCCCGCCAACGGCCCCCGCGGCCGTGCCGCCCCGCCCCGCCGCAGGTGCCGAGCAGCCACCGCCGCCTCCCGGCCGCCGCCTGCCGCCGTGCCGCGTTACCAACGAGCGGCGCGAGCTGCGGGACCCAGCCGCAGCGCCAGACGAGGACGACTACATCACGGTGGGCAGTAGGAGGTGGAAAGTGGGGTGGAAAGGCGGGTGGAAAGGGGGTCAACGGGAGGTGCATGCGCTGCCGCCGGTGCACCACACATGCGGACCCACGCTTCCCCCACTCCTCGCCACCCACGCCCACCGACACCTGGCCCACCCAGGGCCCTTCATACATGCACATACCTCCTCCCTTTCATCACCCGCCTGCCCGCTCACCTCCTGCGCCTGCCCCCCTCCCACCCTCCCACCCTACCCCCCTACCTCCCTACTCCACACAACTCGCAGGTCGACCCCGACAACCCGGTGCCCAACCCGCAGCTGGGCCCGCTGGAGCGGCGCATCGGGCTGCCGTACGAGGAGGCGCTGTTTGAGGACGACGTGGATGCAGAGGCGGAGGAGTATTGGTTCACGGAGCCCGCGGGTGGGTGGTACCGCTACTCGTGTGGTACAGCTACTAATGTGGTACAGCTGCGTGTGTGGTGCAGCCGCGTGGGTGGTGCAGCCTCCCCGCTGTGATGGGCTGCGTGAGCAGGCCTGGGGCAGCGGGCACACATGTCGAGGGGCGTTGGGCATGGGTGAGGGGCTGGGGTAGGGGGCATGCGGTGGGGAGGGCTGGCTCGCAGCCGCGAGTCCCACACCCGCCCGCCACCGCCCGCCCCCTCCCTGCTGCAGACGGCTGGAACACGGAGAAGCGGCGGCTGCGCAAGTTGCCCCAGGAGGAGCTGGTTGACCTGGATGTGTTTGCGCACTCGGGGGAGGATGCGGCGGGGCGGGTGCCGCTGGGCGGGGTGCGCGAGGGCGCCACGCTGCGCGGCACCGTCGTGGCCCAGATCTGGCACCACGGCGCGCAGGTGCGGCGGGGTGCGGCGGCGGGGGTTGAGAGGGGAGTGTGGAGGGGCGTTTAGCGGGGGCTGGGGGCGGCACAGGGTGCCTGGCAGGGCGCCGGGGGTGGTGCAAGAAAAGGCGGCGGCCAGCCTGCCGGCCTGCCAGCCTGCCGGCAGGTGCCCGGCCCTCCACCTGACCCCCACCCCGCCCTCTCAACCACACACATTCACACACTCAACGCATACGCACATACGCACACCACCCCCCGGGAGCGCAGGTGGACATTGGGGCGGAGTATGACGGGCTGCTGCCGTGCTGCGAGGAGGAGTGGGAGGAGCTGGGGGGGGCGCTGGATGTGGGGGCGGAGGTGCAGGTGCGGGTGCACCGCGTGCGCGACCCCACCCTCTTCCGCTTCCCGGTACAGGTGGGCGCGGGGCAGGCGGGGTGCGGTACAGATGGGGTGCGGCGTGCTGCTGCCCCGCGGCTGCCCCCGGCCGGCCGCCGCCGCTGCGCCGGCCGTCTGCTGCCAGGCATTTGTGTGCGAGCCCTCCCATGCTGCTCGCCGCTGCGCCCGCTGCGCCCGCTGGCGCCTCGCGCGCCCTGCCCTCTGCCCTGCGCGAGGGCTGTGCTCCACGCGCCGCCGCCCCTGTCCTGCCCGCGCGCCCCCCGCAGCTGGCGGCGACGAGCGGCTCGCTGGCTGCCAAGCTGGCGCCGCCAGAGGAGCACCAGGCGCCCATGGACCTCCGAGCGCTCACCATGTGAGCAGCCAGCAGTGCAGCCTTAGTGTAGCCAGGCAGCTAGCCCAAGCAGGCAGGCAGGCAGCTGCCAGAGGCGGCCAGCCGGCCAGCCGGTGCAGGGCGCAGCCGAGCCCTGCCGCGGGATTGCGCAGTACGGCGAGGCGGTACGGCAGGGCGCCTTGCCTCAACGCCAGGCCTCAGCCCCTTGGGTCACTGCCTTGGCGCCAGCAGCCCAGCACCACACCAGCCCCGCCCTCCCGCCCGCCTGCCTGCCCGTCACACGCCCCGCCGCGTGCGCCTGCCTGCCTGCCTGCCCGCAGCACTCCCGAGGAGGTGTGCGCCCGCAGCGAGGGGCAGCGCGTGTGGGAGCCGCAGGATGTGATGGTGCAGCTGCAGGATGAGTACGACTATGAGCACGTGAGTGCCCCGCCCCGCCCGCAGCCGTGTGCCTACGCATGCGACTGGGCTGCAGCAGATGGGCCGCAGCCGCAGCCTGCAGCCTCGGTCATCTCCCCCTTTAATTTTTTCGGGCGTGTTGGTTCAGCAGGCAGATGGGCCATCAGCATGCCCCTGCAGCGGGGCTGCATGACCCTGCGTGCCCTTGCTTTATGTGTTGCTTGCGTGCCGGGTCGGCGGCAGGCGGCAGGGGGTGTCTGCGGCAGACGCCGCGCCTCGTTGCGTCGCTCTGCTGCCGTGCCTTCCCTGCTCTTTGGCTGGGGTGCTCGTGAGCACCTGCTTTGGCTCCGTCGGCTGTCTTGTGCCCGCCACCACACCACCGCCTACCCTGCCATCCTTTCTTCCTCCCCCCCCATGCAGGGCTACGACCTGTTTTACGACGAGCCCACCCCGCTGGTGGTCAGCAAGGAGCAGGAGGTGGCGTGCGACGACGTCGCGCTGCGCATGCTGCGCGGCTGGTGACTTGATGGAAGGGCGCCGGCATGCAGCCGCCAGCCCGGCGTCGCGTGCATTGCATGTGCCCCGTCCACCCGTGTGGTCTGACCCGTCTGTGACATCCCTCCCCTCTGCAATACAATACACTCTCACTTGTGACTGATGCACCGGGCTCCTGCTGACTGTCCATAGCAAGGGCGACGGCACCTGGCGCGGAGGGGCAGGCGCCTTACATAGCAGGTGAGTGAAGCTGTTTAGCGGCGCAGCCCAGAGGTGGAAGGGGAGGGGCAGAGCAGGAGCACAGGCTGGGAGAGGAGAGCGAGGGAGGCGGAGGGAAGAGGAGAGGCTGGGGCGGCAGCCGCAGCGTGATGCGAGGCGGCGCCCAGGCACACATGTACACATGAGCAGCGGGCGGGGGCCGGCTGCGGGAAGTGCTGGGAACAAAACGAACAGGTGGCGCGCCCAAGCACAGCTGGGCACCCCTAGTGTGACAAGTGGGAGAAGCGGTGGCGGCAGCGGAAACTTCTCCCAACATCTGATGCTGCCAGGGCCGTGCCAGGGGCTGCTACAGGCGAGGTGGCAAAACGGCTGGCAGTTGTGGCTACATGGCACGCCGGCCGGGGCGTAGAAGCCACGAGGTCACGCCTGCAGCAACACAGAAGCAGCGGCCTCAGATTGCAAGCAAGAGTCATGCCATGCGCTGCATCGATGCAGCAGCTCCGATCCAACAGCCAGCAGCAAGCAGCCACTCCCCCCATGCTCGCCTTTTTGAACTCTCGGATGATGCGCTCCCCTGCCGACGCCACAGACTCGCCAAAGGCGAGCCCCTGCTCAAAGATGGACCGCACCCCCGGGTTCTCAATGGCCCGTGCCTCCACCCTGCACCCACACAGCGGGACGCGGCCGCCGCGGGCTTGAGCAGGCGGCGGGTGGAGCGGCGGCGGGTGGGCGGGCAAGGGTCGCACGCTGCGCCCGGCATTTCGGCTGCTCTGAGGTGGCTCCCAGGTGCTGCACCAGCTGGCAGCAGGCCAAGCAATGCAAGGCTAGAGCAGGGCTGCGAGCGGAGACCGCAAGCAGGCGCGCGCACTTGATGACGCCCGCCCGCTTCAGGGACCCCAGCAAAACGAATGCCACCACGCCCTGCACCACCACGCCGGACATCCACCCCATGGCGAGCGTTCGAGAGGGGCGGGCAGGCGGACGCGGGGCTACAGGGGTGCGGGTGCTCTGCCAAATGTGCGGATGGATGGTGTAAACCGGCCTGGATGGCTGAGCGCATTAGGTTGGCCCGCAGCAGGCCAGGAAAACCCCACCAGCAGTACGCGGCCTTGAGGCGCCTGCACATCCCCGGTGGCGGCCAAGGCAGGCACCACAAAGCCCGCACACCCATTGCCAGCCTGGGCACCGTCCACGCCCCCCGCTTGCAGCCTCGTGCCAATCGTCTGGGCTGAACCTGAAGCTGAAGCCATGCCGCTGGGCTTGGGCAGCCTCACGCGCGCAGTTTGCAACAGGGCACGACGCGGGCTGTATGCCGGCAGGAGGGTGCTGTCAGGCAACCAGATTAGCGAAGACGGCGGCAACAAGTGAGCGCCGCCTGGCGTGCGGAAGGCGGCCTGCCTGGTGTCCATGCCTTGCTTCCTCCATTCTTCCTTGGAAGGGCGAGAGGCGGAGCAGCTGGGCGCATGCTGTGGCCCGCTGCTGGCAGTGCACACACGGTGGCCTCGGCTGCCTGCCCGCTGCCGCCGCCGAGCGCGTTTGCCATGTGCGCGTCCCTTCCGGCCCCGCCGCGGCCCGCCTGCCCCGCAGGACGCGGCGCACCTGGAAGCCCAACTCTCACAACAAGCGCCTGTACAGCCACATCCTGGCGCGCATGGTGCCCCTGCGCGTCACCGCCGCGGCGCTGAGGTGCGGCGGGCACGCGCACAAGGGCGGCTCACCCCTGCCACTTGTGGCAGGGGTGAGCCCTTGATTTGGTTTAGGTTTTGCGGATCCAGCTTGGTTGCTTGCCTGCGCGCTGGGTTCTGTGCCCACCACACCACAACTGCTCACCCCGCTGCACCCTGTGCTGGCCCCTGCGCCGTGCCCCTCCTCTTCCCTCCTCCCTGATGCAGGGACATAGACAAGGTGGGCGGCATCGATGCCTACATCTTGAACACACCCGACAAGCAGCTGCAGTCTGATGTGGCGGTCGACCTGCGGCAGAGGATGCTGCGGCGGCTGCTGGCCAGCGGCCGGCAGCAGCAGGCGGCCCAGAAGCAGCAGCAGCAGAAGCAGCAGCAGCACCTGCCGCCCGCGGCGGCGGCAGCGGCGGCGGCGGCTGAGCAGGAAGCCTTGTAGCGGGCCGGGCGGCCGGCTCGTGTGCGGTCGTGTTTCACTGTGTAAGGTTCTGCCAAACATGTCAAGACAGCGGAAAGGCAAAGGAAGAGATGCAGTGGGTGCTTGCTGCTCTCAGCCAGCAGCAGGCTCCAGCCCTGGATGCCCCCCACCACCCATTCATCGCTTGCGGTCGGCCACTGAGCTGGGAGCTGCGGCGCCGCCCTTGCGCTTGCTACGCCCCGCACTGCCGCCGCCGCGCTGCAGGCAGGCAGGCCAGAAGCAACCAGGTAAGCAAACGGACAGCGGGCCAGGCGCCACAGGCCCCTGTCCACTACCCCCTGGCCTGCCGCATTTACTCACGGCTGGCTGGGCAGCGGCAGGAAGCTCCAGACGCCCACCTGACCCGCCGCTGATCTCCCGCCGCCCCGCGCCGCCGCCGGCCTGCCACCAGCCGGCGCCTCCAGCCTTTCCTCCTCTGGCTGGGCGCCGACCTCGCAAGGGTCTGCGCCAGCCAGGCGCTCCATGTGCACGTCAAAATCATAAGGGCCCGAGTATTCAGGAGAGATGGCAAACAAGGCCCGCCGCCCGCCGCGCGCCTCGCCGCCCCGCGCCCGCTCCCGCTGCTGGCGGCTGGCCGCCGGACGACGGCGCCGGCTCCCGCTCGCTCCCGCGTTGCTGCCAGCGGCGGCTGCTGGTGACGGCGCCAGGTGCTCACTCAGTGTGCCCAAGCACTGCCCCCCCTCCTCCTCCCCCTCTGTGGCTGGTACCATCAGCCTCTCCACCTCCTGCTCCGCTGGCGGCGGCAGCTGGCCGCCGCCTGCCCCCAGCCCCTGCTGCCCTTCATCCTCATCCTCTGTGTCCGGTATCACCAGCGCCCCTGCCTCCTGCCCCTCGGCTATGACAGCCGCTTGGCTGGCAGGCTGCCCGCCTGCTGCTGCCGCCTCCAAAGCACCGCCCAGCTCTCCATCCTCAGCCTGCGCCGCCGCCGCGGCTGCCAGCGGTGAGCCTAACCGCCCCTTCTGCCGCTCTCGCCCAGCACGCTCCTGGTCGTCGCCTGTGGCAGCAGGATGCGGGGAGAGGAGAGGGCACGACGGCAGGAGCGCTGAGCGGCTGCCGGCGACAGCTGCCGATTCCCATGCCCTGGCCCAATTCCAACAGACCCGGATTACAGCATGTGCTGCCTGTTGGCAGCTCAAGGCGCTGCCTGTGCAAGGTCAGGTTGGCAATTGCAAGAGTCACAGGCACGGCATGTGCGGTTCTGTTCAGCTGGCAAAGCCAGGTTTCAGCTCCCTTGCTCGGCTTCGGCACGGCAGCCCAGCTAGCTGCTGCCGGTCAGCAGATCCAGCCCCCGCCAACGCTCCTCACTTGGCCCCCGCACCTGCAGGCAGGCAGGGGGCGGGCGCCAGGTGATAATGCAGGCAAAAACGCCGCTTCGGCGGATGAGCGCAGGGCATGGACCTACTCGAGAAAGGCAGCAGCCCCTTGTTCACTGGAGGGATACCTCCCTGCAGGGATACCTCCCTCTCGCCAGCTGCCCACTCAACTTACAGCCCACCCCCGCCTGCCGGCAGCCCGCCCCCAAGCGAACGCCGCCGCTGCTCACAGGCATGCCCGCTTCCGCCAGCGCGGCAGCCGGGGCGACGGCGAGGAACTCTCCGCCACGGTACGGCGACGGCGCTGGCAACGCAAGAGGGCAAGAGCAGTGAGCAAAGCGAGCACTTCAAGAATGGGCAGCACCGGGCCTGCCTAGCGGCACCCCCCCCTCCTTCCCCACTGCAAACCGCCAGGCCGAGCTTGCACTCTCCCCGTTACTGCAGCAATTGCTTTTTCAGAGCTGCCATGCCACACCGCCCTGGGGCTGCTGGTGCTCTTTAGCCTGCGAGGACCGCGCTAAGGTGTGTGCCAGGAAGGCAGGCAGACGACCCTAAAAAAAAATCGGAGCGATCCTCTGCAGCAGAAGAACAACAGCAGCCCCAGGGCGGGGTGGCCTGGCAGGCAGCTAAGGCAGCAACAGCTAAGGCAGCAGCAGGTGAGGCCACCCGGCATCCGAACCCGGGAGAGCAGCAGCCGTGCTGAGCCGGCAGGGGCAGGCAGTGCGGCAGCAGAAGCTGCAGAGGGACGCACGCCACTAGTCCTTGCGCGGCTACCAACACACACCCCATGCACTCCCTGCTGTGGCGCCATGCGCTTTCTAGCAGCAGCAGCGGATCCCACCCCTGATGGCACACGCCGAAAGTGTGCTGGCACTCCCCCTGGCAGCGAGCGGCGGCGGAAGCTGGCACTTCCCCAAGCAGCGGCGGCGGCTGGCACTCCGCCAGCAGCAGCGGCAGCAGCCTGCCCGGCACCCACCCCTGAGCTCCGCCTCTGCCCGCTCCTCTGCCGGGTTGCCTGGGTCGTAGTCTGGATCCCTCTTGTCCTGCACACATCCCGGTGTGTGTGTGTGTGTGCATGCGTGTGTGGGTGTCTGTCTGTGTGCATGTGCGCATGTGTGCACATTCGCGCGCATGGTATGTATGTCGTGTCAGGGGGTGAGGGCGGCAGCAGCGCTGCGCAGGGATCGCTCCCCTGAGAGTTGACCGCCCCATGGGCACCTCCCGATGCTGCCCCCCCCCACCCCTCCACCCCAACCCACCCTGGACGCCTCGATCGCCTCGGCCTCCTTGTCCCCCTGGGCCAGCTGCTGCTGCACGCCCTCGTTGCCCTGCAGGCCAGGCAGCGGGCAGCCCGGCGGGGTGAGTGCACGCAACGGCGGCGGGCCGGCCAGCGGCACGGTGCATGCAGGCGGGGGCGGGGAAGCGGGGCAGGGCGGCAAGCTGCCCTGGGACCGGCTGTGGCGCGGCAGGCAGGTGCGTGCTAGCGAGCGGCGGGCAGGGGGGGCATCAGGGCGATGCGTGAGCGCAGGGAGCTGGGGAGACACCGGGCGCCAGCTGGCGGTGCCACGCAAGCGCCAGCTGGCGCACCTCGCGCTCCACCTGCCACTGGGCGCTTCGCAGCTCGGCGGCCTCGGCCCCCGGCACATCCGTCTTGACCTGGTCTGCAGGGGGGCCGGGGAAGGGGAGCAGGGAAAGCAGTGGGCGAGGCGTTCAACGGGAGAGAGGGAGGGGGGAAGGAGTGGGAAGCATTATGCCCAGGCAGGCGGCAGCAGCAGCCGGACGTCCTCCTAGCAATATCATCACCACTATCCAGACGTCCAACGAGGCTCATCGTTGGGATAGAAAACAATCATGATGATGATCAAGGCATGCGCCGGCGTGGCCACATGCTGGGCAATGGGCTGACGTGGCAAGCAGCCAGGCAGACGGCCAAGGCAGCCAGGGCAACAACCAGGGCAGAGGAGCGTACCACGAGCCAGAGCCACTCGGCGACTGGGATAGCTGGAAGAGCTTGTTTTCCTCAGGTCA